ATTAGCACAACTATAAAAGCCATGGTATAATAACAGCACCAAAACCCCTAATTCTTTGTAATATGCTTGTAAGGAGCTCCTGAACTGAAAATACTGAATCATTTCCTTTTCTGATGATACAGGTCACAATTGGCATGAACAGAAGTGTCTTTGATGTCTATCTGTGCAGTTATGATAAACTGCTGCACTATCTGGGACAGAATAAGGTTGGCAGGGAAAGGTTTCCTGACACATGTTAAAAGACACGTGGCTTGACGGTGGATGGGTTAGAGGAGTCTGTCTGCACTTCCTCAATTCTCCCCCCTTATGCAAGCTTCATAGCTGTATGCAGAGATACGCAAAATGTGCAATTGGCTATTCTAAACTGGGCAGTTGTATCACAATGGGCTATTTCACTTATGTTTTTAAACCAATTACTTGATTACTGTTCATTGCAGGTATGCACTTACATCCTACAGCTGCAGACTAGTTTTACAATCCAATTTGCTCTCATCAGCTTCACTATTTTACAATAATGTTTCCACTGCAACAAGCCCTTATGGAGTTGGTGAACTCAAACATCTGCATTCCACCAAGAGCTGCCCTTTATGGCAAAACTATGGAGCTACATTTTCAGTCATCTGAAATGGAAGTTACACAATGATCATGTGTGAACCTTTTTCAAGAGGGTCTGCCCGACTTTGAAATCAAGCAAAGCATACAGCTTAAACAGAACAGCACAACACACCAAATAGGCTGAGGTTTTTACAAAAAAAAAAAAAGAATTAAATCCTCTGAAAACTATCAATGAAAGATATCTGATTAATAAAATGTGACGATTCCGTGAGCGAAATACATCGTATCTGTGGTTCAAGTTCAGAATCAAAAATGGCTACACAACCGGCCACCTACTATTACTAAACACCTGAAATAGGCGTTCCCTTAAATAAGCATATTCTTGTTTCACAAATAACCTGCCCCGACAATTAAAGAAAAATACAGATCAAGGCTTTTACAGTTGTAAAAACCTGCGATTTTATTTTAGTATTCTATATTACGGCAAAAACTGTCAAAACAAAGTGATTATGCCCTCCAATAAAGTACAAATGAGGATACGCACTGCAAATAAAGTCAGAACATCAATGCTGCACAACTGCGTTTGCTGTGCAACCGATTCCTTTCTAATGAAACACCAGCCTCCACCCATGACCTCCCACTGTCATGGCTGCAGCTTTTGCTCTCAAGAGTGATCCGACACCAGTCCTGCAAGGTTCAGGCCTGTGTAGGTTTTCCTACAACTCATAGTGCCCGTTACAAAGAAGAGCTGGTCATTCTGCACATCTAGTTAATGGCAGCTACATCATCTGAGGATGTCAACCAGCTGTTTCAACAACATAGCTCAGCAGCTTATTCCAGAATTCCACAAGTCTTAGGGAAAACTTTCATTCAGTTTCTGCACTTAACTCCCCCTTGTTTGCGACTCAGTGCCGATTCTGAAAAAGTCCATTAAGCCGACAGTTTATGCATCTCAATGTTCTGAAAGCCCGAATCCAGAACCTTGTAGTCTTCTCTGTTAAAAACAAAAAAGGTCCAGTTCTTTAGACAGTCAGTACAGGGAACTGATCATGAATCATGGAGTTACACTATTCTACAACAAGGATGTTGTATAACTAAAAAATAAAATTCATTAAAGTTTTTATTGCTTCCCCTCAATGTTCAGAAGAATGAAATCATGCCCACAAACACCCAAGTCCTTTCCATATGGAGCATCCTGAAGACTGACTTCCATTTCACATCAACAGTTCATGTTTGTGTTATCTTCATATAATACCACACTTCCATACTTTAGGTCACCTACTAGATGCTTGTCCAATCTTCAACTTTGACTATGCAGCTTGTTAATTAAACTGGTTATTTTGGTTACATTCGCAAGCATGACTGATTTTGATGACAGAAAATAAACCACATATAATTTGAGTGCAGTGGTCACAGGGTAGGTCCCTGTGGTACCCCACTAATGGTGTCTCCTGCTCTTAATGACCTAAATCAGATGGTTGGCTGGCTTAATTGGAGTAATAGGATTTTCTGCTCTAAAGGAATCTAGAAAGCACACAGGCCCTGCCATAGGTTTCAATCCAGTACAACATGTGCTAAATCAAAACAAATACAAAATTCACATCTAATCACATGCATACCTATTCATTATACAGGTTGAGTGCTGTCCCTTTAAAAAAGCAATCTGTGTTCCTGATGATCACTAGACAAGGATCTGCACAGATATCAATCCGACACATTTGTGGTTGCTAAGATACAAGTTTCTGCGAGGGGGGGTCCAGTCTTCCTAGCAGCACAGGCCATGCAAGGAACGCGAGAAAAAACAAAAGTAACAGCCAACAGCATATTACAACGCACCCCGTAGTATTAAAACAATAAAGATGTTTGGCTGAGCTCTTTGGTTTGACCAAAGGTTTAACGGACTGTAATGATTGCTGTTTTTAAATCCAATAAAATAATCATTAATCATTGTCCCAACCCTAATCCAAAAGTCTGCATTCAAGCTTTGAAAGTTCAAGATCACTTCAGCTGTCATGATGGGTAATGTGGGTTTAGACTACATA